GTCTCTCTCCCTCCTCTCTCTCTCTCTCTCTCCCCTCCCTCCCTCCCTTCCTCTCTTTCTCTCTTACGATTTTTTTCGTATTGTGAAATTTATTCATCTAGAAGAAATTTAACGATAAATTAAAATTTATCAATAAATGAAATGAAATTATTCTAAATTATCACTGATAAATTTCCTGATGTTAAGAAAAAATGATTTCCTGATAATTTAATTTAAAACATTAATATTAAAATTTAATAATTATAATGAAAAAGCTAAAGATTTCATTGTCTATAATTTGTAATTTAATTTATTTCCCAAAAATTTTCACCTATCATCCTTTCCTTCCTTTTCTTTTTTTCCATTTATATTAATTAGAACAATTACCGCGGGAAATTAAGCGAAGTAAAAAAAGCGGGAATGACTATGAAAATACATATATGAATCGTTTTATCGTTTTATCTTAAGAACTTTTAATGGTATATTTTATTTCAATAATTTCTTATTTATGTTAGCTGCTTTTTTTAATTGGCAACTTTATTTCAATAATTCTTTATTTATGTTAGCTGCTTTTTTAATTGACATATTTTTTTTTCTTCAGTTTTTCATTTTTAACAAAAATGAAGTATAGTTATCATGGCTATAAAATTATTAACTACAAAAGTAAATTATTTATAATTTAATTTTTACAGTATACCTTGAATATGATATCCTTTCTAAGGTATGCTCAATCGAAACCATTTTTATACACCATATCTGCATATACCTATCGTATCTAGGCAATATCTTGTATATCTTTACATACCCTATAATAGCTATACTTATATAGAATATGTAATTTGTAAAAGGATTAGATAAGAGATGCTAAAAGATCAATAAAGAATGATCATATCATGCAATCAAATCATTTTGTCATTTTTTTTTTTTTTTGTTAAATCATATTATTTTGTTCTGCTAATATACAATACTATTTATATTTAATTCTTTGAGTATTCGAATTCTGTCATGTTTGTTTAAAATGAAAAATAAGAAATAATATTTATTATATGCATAAAGCTTAACAAGTGAAACGCACAAATAATAAGGCAATACAATAATTATATAATTTATTTTTGAAAAAAAATACAATAATTATATAATTATAATGACTATATAAAGCAATACAATAATTGCATAAGTTATTAAATTAAATTCCATGATATTCAACTTGATTTCAAAAAAAAAAAAAAATAGGATGAATTAAGTAACGTAATATTGATAAACAATCCAATTATATAATTTTAATTGGGAAAAAAAAGTGCAATAATTGCACGAAATTTCAGAAAACATTAAATTATGTTGATATTATTATTTTTAAGTATGTTAATATTCTTTTAATTAATATTATTTTGAGGGAATAAATTTTTTCTTTTAAAGGAAAAGATGAATTAGCTAAATTCAAATTTATCAACTATCTTTTTTGAAAAACAATTAAATTTAATAATTTAAAATCTGAAAATTAACATTTCCTTTATAGAAAAATTCATCGGTTTTTTTGTCTTTTCTGAAAATCAATACAATGATGAATAGTAGCATATGCTTACTTTTTAAGATCTTTGCTTGTTAATATTTATTCTTTTTTTTTTCCGAAACAAATAATGCAATGATTTTATCAATTAAACATAGTGATTTTGTCAATAAATATTTTATCAATTTTATCAATAAACGATATACGATTAAAGTAAATTTTTCGATATAAATTTAATTAAAAAAAGTAAAATTCAGAAAAAAAGACAAAAAATTATGACAAAATTTTTGTTTTTTTTTTTTTTGAATAAATAATCGCATGTTTTTGTTATCAATCATTAATGTTTACCACGGAAATGATCTTTGAATTTTTATTATGAATGATAAAATTTTGAATTTTAAAAAAGCTCGATAGAATTGGTTAATATAAATGATTTGAGGGGAAAAGGAAATGATGTAATTCAAATAATTACGAAATACATTTCATACTTTATTAGCTTACTGTATTTTAATTCTTTTACAACAAATGTAACTTTGATATTAGCGCAATATAATAAATGAGTTAAATTTTTTGCCAAAAATTATTCAGAAATATGGAAGAGAAAAGGAATTGAAAGAATAATTAGGTAACAAAAAGATTGGAAAAAAAAGAACAGCATTTTTTTTTTTGGTTTTTGATGGTTCATTTAAGATTGATTATCACTAGGAAAGTGATAATCAATTTTATCAACGAAAAAAAAAGGGAAATTTTTGAATGTTCTGAATTGATCAACGATAAGGATGATAATAATGTTGATAACAAGAAGGGGATGAAGAAAGTAAGGAAGAAAAAAGTTATTTAATTATTTTGATTAATAAAATTAAAAAAAAAAAGAAAAAGAACGGTGAAGAAATTATTTGCCATTTTTTGTTCATATTAGTTTCAGTAATGATATGATTAATTACTAATTGTTATTACTGTGAACAAAATAATTTTTATATGGTATAAAGATATAATAATAATAGGTAAAACAATGGAAAAGGTAAATAGGCTTAATTATTACAAAAATAAAAAAATTAAAAAAAAGTTCTCTTTTGAAATAATAAAGATAATTTTTTTGACAAAAAAAAAAAAAAGAAACGATAATAAATGAGCAATTATGAGATATTAAATCAGCAATTACAGTAATTTATTAGTTTTTTTTCCTGTAATTTTAATGAAAAATTCTACTGGGAAATTATAAAAATTATTTTTTCATAAAAAAAATTTGTTTGCTGAATAAATTTAATAATTATTCATTTTTCATTATCATTAAGATATGATCAGTTTTTTTTAAACATCTATTACGTCAATAATTTAAATTTATTTTTAAACAATAAATCTATGTTCCAATTTTTTTTTATTCTCTCGAATTTCATTTTACCTTAAATTTATAAAAAAATTTTTCATTTTATTTTTTTTCATCAAAAATTTTCATTTTACCTTAAATTTCCTAAAAATTATTTCTATTTCTTAAGAAAATAAAATAAAAAAAGTAGTTCATACATAGATAAATCAATCGAACAAAAACATTTAATTATTACCTGTTCCATCTCTCTCTTTCTCTCTCTCTCTCCCTTTCTCTCTCTATTTCATTCAGATGAACAAATTATTAAAGTTACGCAATATTAAAATGATTAAAATAAACAAAGATGTAGCTTGAAGAGAAAAAAAAACAAAGAGATATTAATTGTTGTCATTTATTTTAATGTCCTTTCAATAGCAATTTCTTTTTTTTTTGTCTTTTCATTTACCAAAAAAAATAAAATAAAAAATTGAAAATAAAAATAAAATTAAAACAAAATAAAAAGAAAAAATAAAATAAAGCGATATGAAAGAAAAGAGATTTCTCTTTCTTTTGCTCAATTTTTTTAAGTTCATTTCTAGTTTTTTTTTTAAATTTTATCTTAACATTTCTTGGATTTTTCTTGAACATTAATCGTCCTTTCTCTTCATAAATAACATCGGAATAATTTAAATGACATGAATGACATAAATTAAGTAACATAAAGTGTAAATATATACTTGTAAATGAGTAAGTTTTATTCCTTTTCTTAAAGCAAACATTCACCCATATAATTAGCATGTAAGATATCATAAAATCCAACTAATAATAAGTAGTGATAATCTAATTAGTCTTGCTAAATTTTAAAATCAAAATCCAAT